ACTTTATTTTGTATAGAGTCACCGATCATAGTTGTCGTAAGCATTGTAATAATTATTTTAATGAAACACTTTTTGTATATTTTTTCCTTACTCGCAAATAAGGGGACAATATGACGCTACGGATCCACGACTTTGTTTATTAATGGAACAGCTGATGTTCTACCACTACCATCAGCTGTTGTATCCCTATTTTGACAGCTAAGCAGCTGTTGCGACCCTACCTTGACAGCCAGTCAGCTGATTGTATCTCTTTTATGACAGATCAGCTGATGGTCGCCGGGGTGGGAAGATTTTGGCGCGAGTTTGGCGCTATAAAAGGGCCAGTCTGGACGATAGAAGATCAGAAGCCTTCGGTTGGCGACTCACGGAGCAACTTATAAAGCTCTACGTTTTGCAACTTATCAAGCAGAAAGCATCTCTCGGCAAGGTATCAGCAATTTATAACGTGCGATCATCGCCGAAGCTGGTTAACTCAGTAGACATTTCTTACCCGCATTCGCGCGTATAGTGGCTCACTTGTTATAGTCTTTCGTAATGGATTCTGTAAATAGTGTATATAGTTATATTGTTAAATAAATTGTTATTGTTGAGTTAAACATAACTCCTCGTGTTGTAAATTACACGACCTTCTCCTTTTTTCAGGACGCGAGTCGAGTTTGCATTATATCATGAATTTAGTTTACTCGAGTAAATATGATATTTCTTGTTTTTTTTTTATTGAAATTCATTTGAATAATTCGAGTCATTTGTTCGCCAACCTACTAAGACGAGAGACAGCGGACCACAGGGAATCACAGCTCGTCACAGTGTTGTCAGAAAGACGCCTTAACTCGTTTGATGCGCGCCGCAACTCGCCACAGCGAGTCTGCCTTACCGGCCTAGGTAGTGTTGCCAACCTACAAATAATGTACGGCATAAAATGTATTTGCCAATCTACAATGAATGTAAAATTATTACGATAAAAAATTGTTCATGTGTCCTTAAAAACGACTTGTAAACTGAGAAATTTTATTTGTCACCATGGAGAAACGATTTATCGGGGCCATTATACGATATTTTTCCACAAAAACAATAAATGGTTCCATGCTGACGATTATGTTATTGAAGCTGTACAGTACAAAAATTTATTGAATAACAAAATAATTAAAAAAATTTATATTTTATTATTTATGAGAGACAAAATTAAAAGCATCAAAGTTTAATAAACTTTCAAATTTCATCATTGTCGTTTTATTATAAATGTTTTCAAACTACTTATATTTAGTATACCTACAGTTATGTGCATCAGTGAATATATTATATATTCTCTAACATATAAAATGAAAACTGCGTAAGTTTGGTACACTACCTTGGCCGGTAAGGCAGACTCGCTGCAGCCCGCAGCCGACGAGTTAAGGCATCTTTCTGAGAACACTGGCTCGTCATCTTGTCACCTTATATACCTATCTGCCTTCGGAGTAGGGAGAGATTGACGAGATGGCTAGCATCGAACTTTAACAAAAGTTCGATGTCTTTTCGAACGGTAGTCCTGAAAAGGTCGGAAACCGAAAAGAGTTTCAGAGTTTGCACTCTGCAACTGACAAGACGGCTAGCATCGAGCTTTAACAAAAGTTCGATGTCTTTTCGAACGGTAGCCCTGATAGGGCTGAATGCCGAAAGGTGTTTACAGAGTTTGAACTCTGAAGCTGGCAGAGCAACGTGCGTCAGTCTTGATAAGAAGGCCGGTGTCCTACGAAAAGTGGCCCTGAAAAGGACCTTGGCCCTGAAAAGTTGTCGTGTAAGAGTTCCAACTTTGTTAGTTGGCGAGCAGCGTGGGCCGGTTGGCCACCGAGATCCGATGTTGTTCTGGAGTCAACTCTGCAAAGGTAGGCTGGAAATCCCGTTGACTTCGTAGACTTGGCGGCGGTGACAGATCTGACTTGGCCTTACTGGCTATTTGCGGCTGGTTGGTCCAGGCCGCACTAGCCGAGTGACCGAAGTCGAATGACTGAAGCTCGAAGTGGCCGATACTTAAGCCCCAGCGGGGATACGTTGCTTGTGGGTGCCGGCGTTGCGCCACCTAACGGTCGCTAGTGAAGCTTCAGTGCAAAAGTGGGTGAGGAGGCTTGGAGAGGGGCGAGAAATAATACAATCGAGTATTTTAGTTCAACTCAGGTTTATTTACGTCTCTAATCCAAGCTCTCATGGGCGAGCGAGTTCTTACTCCGGCAAGTCCAAGAGTGAAACTGCGTGCCGAATCGAATTGGCGCCGCTTTTTATATCGCTGGCCGGTCGGCGCGCGAGCTGGCGGCGGCTAAATGGTGGAATGGGGATACGCACACAGGGGTCTCGTGCCGTGGTGCGGGTAACAAATTTTAATCTTGAAATAATCGTTAATAGGGAAATCAATGTAGCATAATAGATGCTCTCTCTCAAGCGCCTGTTATTCGGATTATAACGAGAATGTAATGTCACTGGGTGTGGATTCAAAAGAAATCAAAATATTATTATTTTCAAAGTCAGACGAAGACATTACAAATATTCTAAAAATTCTAAAACAACTTAAGCTAAACAAGTCGGAACAAAATTTATTAAGAGATTTAGTTTTATACGATGGAATTTCATGATATTTTATACGGCTAGGTATTATTCGTACACATGAAACTTGTACACGGGCATTTCTGTACACAAGTAAAATGTGTCCAATATTTGTACACATAATAGAAATTTTTTTTTTTAAATCAAAAAATTAAGAAAAATAATCGTAATCGTAATTTGAATTTAAAAAAAAAATTTCTATTATGTGTACAAATATTGGACACATTTTACTTGTGTACAGAAATGCCCGTGTACAAGTTTCATGTGTACGAATGATACCTTGTCTTTTATACAAGGGTAAAAATAATAATTTTTTACAAAACCGTGCGCACGTATGTCACCGATCTTGACGAGCTTTTGGTATGTTATAGTACATGGTAAAAAGGTCCCAAAAACAAAATTTTAGAAAAAATCTGAAAAAATTTGAGGTTATGTATTTTGATGTGCAAACTCTTTAAGGGGGGGGTAGGGTCTTGACTGAATTTCAAAAAAAAAAAATTTTTTTTTTTTATTTTGAACATGTAGTAAATCGAATTGATCTATAAATCATACACATAATTAATAGTTATTTGAAGAATATTCAGTTAAATTTTCAGCCCAAAATACTGAAAAATAAGGTGGCTACAGCAAATTTTCACATGCAACGTAAAAAAAATTCGGTGGACACCATCACTCAAAATCTACTCGACCGATCAACTTCATATTTTATACACTATTTAAGTAGATAATATATGAGGTAATGACGTCGAGATATTTTAAATTTTTGCATTTTTTAATGCTTTTTATGAACAAGTACGATGAATTTTTGCCTTCATTTTGTCGAAAAAGTCATTTTTTTCACTTCAAAATGATGCCAAAAACTCAAAAATCATTTTAAACGAAATATCTCGACGTCATTACCTCATAATTTATGTAGATAAATAGTGAGAAAAATTTGGAAAAAATCGGTCGAGTAGATTTTCAGTTACAGTGTCCACCGCAATCCATCTTTTTTTTTCAGTTTTGTGAGAAAATTTGCTGTAGTTAGCTTATTTTTCACTATTTTCAGCTGAAAATTTAACTAAATGTTCTTCAAATAACCATTTATAATGTATATAATTTATAGATAAATTCATTTTACTATGTGCTTAAAAAAAATTATTAAAATGCAGCTCGAAAACCATCGAACAAGACCCTACCCCCCCCTTAATAAAAGTCTTGTGTCAAACCTTAAACGTGTATCTCAGATTTTGGTACAGTTAGAGTTAGATAAGTGCCCGAGTATTATTTAAGAAATAGTCCCGACATAACAGTAACATTCAAAGCGTACCGATTGAGTTACAGCACCAGAGTCGCGTACACTTCTTCAGAACATCAGCGGTTACGGTCACAACCTCGGGCGAGGTTATTGAACTCATAAGTCACTTTCAATCAGTAAATTCATGAAGGAGGTCACAAAAAAACGTAAAATGAACAATAAAGTGTGCTTCAGTGTTTGTACAGGGTGACTTGAGGTTTCGGATCGGCACGCCCGATGTTGTAACCGTAACCATTGATGTTCTAAAGAAGTGTACGCGACCCTGGTGCCGCAACTCAATCGGCACGCTCTGAATGTTACGACAACCGAGATACACTTTGTAAAAAAGTAAAACGCTAGAAAACGCAAAAGAAGAAAAAATTTAACACGCAAAGTATACGAAAATGGCTCACGGAAACAGCTGTATCTCACTGAATGATCAAAATTTTGAAGTTCCAAAAAATGCAATGGAAAGGGGACAAAAAATCCTACTCGAAAATAAAATAAAAAATTTTCCGATTTTAAGACCCCTGTTGAGTCCCTAAGTATCATTAACAGCCACTTCGGTGTAAAAAATAACATCCAGTCTAATAGAAGAATATTACTATTTTCCATTTTTACGCAACTATGTGAAACGCACATTTTTGTGTAATCTTTCGAGGACCAAACATACTTGATGATATCCGAATTTTATGAATAAAATAATGAAACCCATATAGTCACGGCTTGGTGATTACGCTTGAACTACGTGATATGCTCTACAGGCAATTGTGGAACTTGTTCAGGTATCAATTTGAGTTGCGTGCGTGTGTAACAAGGTCAAGACAGACCATCACGAGTTTCCGAACGTTTCAGAGCTCTAGCTGAGCCGTATATGGTGAGAATTATTGGCTATCGAGAAAAGCTAAATTGATCTGTATATTCGAGTGTTCTGTCTTTTTTGTTAATTAAATATAATTTTAATATTTATTTAACTAAATTTTACGTGAATTCTTGACCTGTTAAGCCCTTTCTTAACATTACTTTATGCAACGGGTAGGGATATGCTTTTTCTGCTAGACGAAGAGTTGGCCTCACATACGCGCCGAAGCTACACATACGTTAGTTTATTAAAATATTAAGATACGCTTTATATTAATTTTCTTACCTTGAAGGTAGTAAAACAACTTGCACATAAATTCGCCGTAAATCCAAATAACTGATACTGCTTGACTAACTGCGATAGGCATGCAAATAAAGGTCACCAATAGATCAGCAATTGATAAATTGACAACAAAATAGTTAGTTACGCTAGAAAATATATATTAAGAATTATTAAATATATGATCTGCATTATACCTAGTTTTAAATTATAAAGTATCAAAGACCGCTGCCAATTTATTGGCAAAGAGCTTTGTTTAATCCAGGGAGTAATTATTGAGGAACAAGTAGAGATAAGGTGTACACACCATAAAAATTAACAATTGATATAGTTTATGATATTCACTCAATTTCTTCATTTCAATATTATTTCAAAGAATTCACAGAAACAATTATATGTGGAGTAGTGTGCGTTTTACTCGTCAAGTCGTCACCTTGAGTTAGACTGACTTGTTCTCTCATCAGCGGCACGCTGCCCCAAAAAATAATTCAATGTAGTTTCCAAATGTGTAACCCAAATTTTCTTACGATGTCTAGTTCCAAATTTTATTTTCAAGTGTAATCACATGACTTTCTCCATGAGGAAGTAAAAGTACAACTTTTCATTTTTTAGTCGTTAACTTTAATAATATTCGGTGAATCTCTATTTATTGGTCTTAAATTTAAACTTGGCTGCTCTGCTCACATTGTACCGAAAAAAAGTATAAAAGTTCCTTCATATATACATGAAAAAAAAACGGAAAAAAAATTTTCCCAAAAAAAAACCAGTTTACAACACGAAGCAGGCAAGACGTGTTCTGCTCGTGCTCCGTATTCTTGACCTTTTTACGAAGTGATACGCTGAATCAGTGTGCTTGTGTAAGTGCTCCGCGTTCACGGCGACGTGCCGCGTCTGTGCATGTGTGTGTGTGTGTGCAGCCCCGCCGCTGTGTGTGTGTGCAGCTGTAGCAAGCTGTATTGCGTTGTGTTAGTTGCGAGTGACAAGTGTTTCCCGCGCTCAGTACTATCGGTGTGAGCCACGCGCGCTGGTGTGAGTGCGTGCTTCGCGCCGCTGGGCCGGTACTCGTGCTGTTGTGTCGACTCGCATCGGGTCAGCAGTCATGTTCGACGGGCAGCAGGATCGGCAGGCGCCTACGTCGGCGGATCGTATCTCAAAGAAGAGCCGAACGAGAAGTAGTTCGCTGCCAGTGATACCGACGAAGATCGGGTCCACCCCCGAGATGATAGCGGCGGCCACCACGCGCTTAATCTTTAGCGCTCTTATGCTACCTGCCAAGGATTCCTCGCTCCCGACCCCCGCAGATTTTGCGACCGGGAGTTACGAAGAGAAGTGGAAAAAATTGACGACGAGAACAACAACGAGGTCAACGATCAAGACGGATTTTCCCTCGTTAACCGTCGACGTCAGCGTAAGCGTAATCAGCCGGCAGCAGCAGATGAATCTTCCCGCACCCGGCAACAGCTAAAGCCGCGGCCAGCGCCTCGTAGGGTTCATCATCAACCGAACGCAATCGTCATCAGAGCAAAGGATGCGTCTACGTATGCCGACATCCTACGAAAACTCAAGACAGAGCAGACGTTGCAGAATTCGGTCGGAAGCAGCATTCAAAACATCAGACGCAGTGCTGCTGGTGCCCTGGTGCTGCAACTCCGAAAAGGCGTAGACAATACCTGCTCCCTCGGCGCGGAGGTGGGCAAGGTTCTCGGTGACGTGGCCACTGCCAGCGCCATACAACAACACAACCAGGATCGAGATCAGGGACCTCGACGAGTGTGTCACCAAGAAGGAGATCGCCGAAGAGCTAGGCAAATCGCTGGGTGTTCCACAACTCAACGAAGAGGTAGTCAAGACGCTGGGGAAGGCGTAAGTGGGAACGCAGGTGGCTGTCGCAGCGCTGCCGGATGACCTGGCCACTATGGCGCTGAAACCCGACCACATACGGATTGGCTGGGTCAACTGCCACATCCGTGGTCGCGAGGATGCTCCGCGCTGTTACCGCTGCCGGAGCCCCGACCAAGTATCGGCCCGCTGTAAAGGACCTGATCGCTCGGCTCACTGCTTCCGCTGCGGACAAGCAGGCCATCGGATAAAGGACTGCAAGAACAATCCAACGTGCGTCTTTTGCGTGGTCGCTGTCCACGACCACGAGTCTACAAGCCAGTACTGTCCTCTCGCGCAAAAGTCCAACCAAGCCCACCGATGATGAGGATCTTACAGCTAAACCTCAATCACTGCAAGGCGGCCCAGGACCTCCTGAGCCAAACCATGCTCGAGCAGAGCATCAACGTGGCCGTAGTGTGCGATCAGTATGAGAACCTGATCCACCTTACTGGCTAACTGATGCCAACAGCCAAGCCGCGATCTTTTTTTTTTTTTTGAGAAACATATGTTTATTCATTCAAATAGTATTTGTTGTACATATAAATTTGGGGCTATAAACATAATACAAAGATGCCAATAATTAAGTCTTATTTTAAACAGAATGATCCATGTAAGATTCTCGCTGCTATTCATAGTCCAAGCCGCGATCTGGGCGCATGGAGGATGCCTTGAGCAGGAGCGCCCAGCAAGAACGCGTCCTTTTTTCACCTGGGCCCGAGTCAACGGTATCTATTTTTTCGGCGTCTACGCGCCGCCAAGGCTCGCTGATGCAGAATTTTCCGCTCTCCTCACCAACATCATCGAGGAAGCCTGGGGCAAGAGGCCGCTCATCGTCGCGGGTGATTTCAACGTCTGGTCAACGGAGCGGGGATACCGTGTGACGAGACAGCGGGCCACCGCTCTCCTTGACGCGTTCGCCACCCTTGAAGCCGTACTTCTAAATACCGGAGACACACCAACATTCTCCGGTCCACTGGGCTACTCGGTCATCGATCTCACCTTCGCCAGCGACACACTCGCTCCTCAAATTAGATCATGGACCGTAAGCGAGCTGATCTACACGCACAGCGACCACCAGGCCATCGTGTTTGAGATAAAGACCACCAGACCGCCTAGACCTTCGACGCGCCAAAGCTGCGAGTGGAATGCGCGCACTCTCGACACAGAGTGTCTCTCAGTCATGATGGCCGGGACCGAGGTTCTTCCTGGGCCTGCAGAAGAGATGGCAACGAGACTCATGGCTGCCATTACCAGTGCATGCGATGCGTCTATGACCAAGAGAGGTGGACGACGTGGCCATGGCGCAGTGTACTGGTGGACAAGCGAGATCACCGACCTTCGGCGCTCATGTCTGCGAGCGCGAAGGCTTGCCCAGAGAGCGCACGGTCGGACAAATGAAGACGCCTGCCGAGCGAGCTATGCCTCCGCAAGACGTTTTCTGCGCGCTGCTATCAAAACCAGCAAGCGCCTATGATGGAACAAACTGTGCGACGAGGTCAACGAGGACGTGTGGGGCAAACCGTACGAGACGGTCATGTGGGTCTCAGAGGTCCGAGAGTAAATTCTCCGAGCTCTTCGTCCCTGGTGCGCCGCATAGTGGCTGCCCTCTTCCCTCTTGAGAATGACGAGCCGGCTCTGCCACCACCGCTTCAGGCAGGAGCAATTGTGCCGGCCGTCACCTTGAAGGAACTCCGAAGAGCATACAAGAGGATCAAGGAGCACACTGCGCCCGGGCCGGATGGTGTACCAAATCTGTAGGGCGTGGGTTCGATCCCCACCGAGCGAATTTTCGAGATTCGTTTTTTCGCCTGGTGTAGTCGAGCCCGTGCCTGAGGTGGAGCGGGTACCACTCAAAAAAAAGACCCGGGCCACGTCATCAGCCTCCGAAGCTGTAAAAAAAACCCCGATCACTGTGCGAGCTGGGAACGAAGAGGATAACAAGAAGTAGGAGCCCAAGGCGAGGACTCACAAGGCTGGCAATAGATGGAGCACAACACTCCCATGATGAAGTCAAAAGCGAGAACCACACTCACAAGAGGGCGCCGGATGTTGGAGCCAAGGCTCTGCTGGAACGCATGATGGCGCCTGAAGCGAGAACCATACTCATAAGAAGACAATAGAAAAGGAGGATCAAATACTCACGGAGACTCGGGACTTGGCGTGGCGCTGCTGAGGGAGTAACACGTATATTCGTAGCTCTGAGAACGCAGTGAAAAAACACAAAATTTTGAGTTTTTAGAAAGGATAAGAAAAGAAGATAAGCAGTAAAGAAGGAATAAAGGAATAATAAAGCGAAGAAAAGAAGTTTGAGAGGTGAAAAGGCGAAGATAAGAAAGAAATTGGAAAGTAAAAAAAAGGCGATAGAGTGAGGTTAAGGTCAGGATGGCGGGAGTCGGAGACAAAGGAATCGTGAAGAATCAAGAGAAAACATGAAAGGGAGATGAAGAGAAAATCAGCACAAGAGGTCGTGGATTAAAAAACGAAGTGACTAAAAGAAACACGAACCAGCCTTCGATTGTGGACAGCATGAGGAGGAAAACGGTGACTTTTTCCACAAGCGCGAAGGACAGGATTCGGAACGGAGGTAAGGGAGGAAACAAGGGAGATAGTATTGTCAAGAAGCAAGAAAAAGTAGCAGAAAGTGACAGTAAAAATAATAAGGAAGAGGAGGATGAAGGTGAAATGGAACTCATGTACGAGAAGATGATGACGTTGACGGAACAAGTGGAGGCCCTCATGGAGAAGAGGAAAGAAGATGAGGTGATGTACGAAGGCTTGATGTATAAGAATGAGGCGTTAACGAACAAGGTGGAGAAATTAGGATACAGAGTGGAGTGCTTGGAAAATAAAGTTGTAGGTATGGAAAAGAAGATGTCTGAATATGAAGAAGAAGTAAAAGATTATAAGGAAGTTGTGGTGGACTTGTTAAACGAGAAAGTAGAGGAAGGTAGTGTAAGTGACGCAGCCAGCGGAAAGAGTGTGGCCAGCTCGTGGAGGTCCAGGTTAAGTGTAAAGAGCAGCACAAGCTGCATAAGTGGAATTAGTTTGTCGCAAAAAGAAGTTGTAAAAATGAAAAGGTTAGTAAGTGAGAAGGAGAGAGATGAGCGTGACTCAATATAGTAATAAAAGGTCTTAGAAACATAGGTGAAAAGATAAAGGATGAGATTGAGAAGTTTTTGAAGGAAAAGTTGGCAATTGAGGCAGGCTTGGATACAGCGTGGAGAAGTGGACAAGTCGTGGTTGGAAAATGTACAAGCTATGAGCAGAA